TTGATAACAACCAATCAACATACTGACATACTGTGTCAGCTGCTTTCTTACCAGCTTCAATATCCTGGTCTAGTTCAGTTGTGTCAGAACAATCATTTTCATCTTTAAATTTTTGAGCTAAGAAACCTTTCAAAGCAGTCTGAGTAAGTTGACACAAACCTGGGTCATTATTTAGTTTAGCAGTACCATGACAATGGATACTACCTCTACCTTGGTATTCATATCGAAACCAGTACCATTTTGCACCAAGAGTATCATAGAGCCAGTGTTTTACAAAACTTTCTAATCTTTGGGTAAAAAACCAATCTACGACATGGGGATTGTTAATAACATTTTGTCGTCTTACCTCACTTGATTCGCTCAGAAAGAGGAACATTTCTTTGTAGTGCTTGATTTGTTGGGTCTCCCTTTCCATCAGGGAATAGTGTAGGAAATGCCATGGTTGCAAGATATTGGATTTGGTATCCATTTAATGGCTGATCTTCAACTGTGGGCCAAGACATTGGTCTTCAGCAGAGAGCTGATTTCTTACAGCATCTAGTTCTTGTTGTTCACCAATGGTTAAAAAACTGCTTGTTTCAGTAGAATCGCTATATACAGTATCTTCAGATGAATTATCAGTAGGTGGACCTACATCATTTCCAATAGTTTCAGGAGTGACAACGTCATCATTTGTCTCCACAGTCAAAAGAGTTGATGGTGTTCCATTAACAAGGCAACTCATTTAGTGCCTGAGTATCAATTTCTACATTTTTATAATGAGGATTATTTTGCTTAAGCCACAATAAGGAATCAAGACCTTTTTGCTTTCTGACATTGACATCTTTCAAGGTATTTTCTTTACCCTTGATCTTAACAATGATCACAGACAGATCTTTGGATATCGTGGCAATGAAAATGCAAGTTCATCAACATGTTGGTCAGATTTACGCAATGCCCAGAATAACCTCGTTGGCCACCTGGTTTAATATAAACTCTCATTATAGGTAGCGCACGAGCAAATAATATCTCTTCTACCTGAGTCAAACCTTGCAACTCAGGAGGAATTGGAGAAGGGATCATAGAATTTTTTTTTGAAAACGTTTTCGGGATTTTTTTGTCCCTGTCACATCGTGAGTATATGTAAGTGTCTGGTGATATAGATTTTAATTTCATTGGCCATGCCTCATGACAAACAGTACACTGAAAAACTGAAAAGTTAATTGAATTATCGAATTTTAACATAAATGACTTTGCCCAACTTTGTTTATGTAGTTTACCATATTTGACAGAATCAAATTCTTCCAAATAGTCTTCCTAAGAAAGTACAGGTACAGATCGATTTTTTTGCCGCTTTGTTTTCATATCTTCTCTGACTTTATCAAGCCTTACTTTTCTCTCAGAAGGAGATTGATCTGACCTTTTTCTTTTTTGAAGTGCATTATTTTTCTGTAATCTGATTTCCCTGTCAGTTTCAGTTGAAATCATTATTTTCTTATAGTCTCTGGCTTTTTGAAGCCTGTTTTGTCTTTGACTTTCAGTTTCATTTCGCTTTTTTTTGCACTAGGTGCATCAGTAACATTAGGCTCGAAGCTGTGTATGTAGAAATCAACGGGTACAACCTCAAAAAATTGACTATTTAACTCATATGAGAGGGAATGCAAATGTTGTTCTAGCATAAAAATATTGGCGAATTTCATAACAACAGCAGCGCCATTTGGATCAGGCATACCACAAACATTTCGTGAATGAGAATCGAACAGATAAATACAATCTGTACGGGTATATTTTATTAAAGCCATAATATAGCCTTCTAACATTATAAATGCATAATCATTGCTTGAAAAAGCATTCATCAAAGCTGAACGTTATAAAGTATAGTACAAGCTGTGATTTTCGTCCTTATCGAACGCACTATTAGTTCTCCCTTGATAAAACTCTTTGTAATCTACTAATCATAAAGGTGTGTTGTTTCGCGAGTTTTGATCTACCACCGGTAGATCTGAATTAGTCACCCTGACTAAACATCCGCCCAGGCAGGCAGAGATAAGATAAGCAGGCAGATATAAGCGAATCGTTTGTATGCCTAGTATAAATTTGCATAATGTTTGCGTCAAGAGACCATCGAATGTCACGGGGCAGGTAGTCCAGAGACAACGTCTCTGTGTCAGGGATGGATCTACTTTCAAAAGCATCGAGATAAAGTCGATCTTCCTCAGCAAGAATCTGATCTACGTTAGATGCGATCCACTGTTCGATTGGCGAAGTCTGCGCAAATAATAACGCTGAAAAACTCATAAAAGAACATTGTCTTCCACGTGAAATGTCGCTAAACTGTTCGCTACCTGGATTGAACATTGAACATTTATTTATTTAAACACGGTAAAATCTCCAGTGAATAGGAACTATTTACAAAAAAACTTACATACATCTATTACACTACTTATAACACTAAATATTATATATAAAAACACACTGGTTTCCAAGATTGCCGTGTGGGAATCCCATTATGGTGGCGACAAAAATCGATTGATTTCATTTTTGAAATGCCTTAATGAATTAGCTGTACGTGCAGAATGGGGGAGCGTATTCCATAATTCAGCATTTCTTAATTTATAGTTTGTGCTGCGAAATGAAAACAAATTTTGCAAATACTCTGGCGTTAGCTTATTGATTGTTTTGTACATCAATATAGACTTGTGCTTTTTCCTCCGTAATGACAGATTGTCCCAATGCAGCTTCTCTAAGAGAATGCTAGAACTGGCATCGTAACTGGACTTCGTAATCACTCTGGCAGCCCTATTTTGTAATTTTTGCATTTTTTCACGTAATGTAGCATTAAATTCGTCCCAAACTGGGCTACAGTAATCAAAGTGAGGTTGGATTATGGCATTATATATCTCGATTGCAGTTCGGATTGATATGAAATGTCGTATTCGTTTAAGAGCACCTATAGTGGAAGAAATTTTTTTACATTTCATATCAATATGATTGGACCAAAGGTTTTTGTCAATAATTAGACCTAGAGATTTAGCTTTGTCAACTTGTTTAATTATATTGCCGTCTAAGTCAATATTGATATTTTCGTTGGAATGAGCATGCATACTTTGACGCGACCGATTATCATAAATTCTGTCTTGGCAATATTGAGACTTAGTTTGTTCGCTTCTAACCAATATTTCAGATTTTTTAATTCTGAATTGATTACATTTTCAAGTTCGGACAATGTATTAGCCGCATAACTAATATTCGTATCCGGCGTCGGCGAACATTCTCCGCGATGCTGCACTGAGACAATTAGGAAGGTCATTAATATAAACGAGGAAAAGTAATGGCCCTAAGTTACTGCCCTGCGGTACACCATAAGCAACTGGTACAGAATATGACAAGCAAACATTTACATTGCATTTCTGAGATCGACCAGATAGATAAGATTGATACCATTTGAGACTTGACTGATCTACACCGTAAATCTGAAGCTTCCGCAGTAATATATCATGGTCAATACTATCGAATGCCTTTATGAGGTCGATAAATATTACTCCATTGAGAAGACCGCTGTCGGCTATATTGACTGACCAGTTACTAGTGGCTTCAAGGAGAGCATTAAGTGTACTATGTAGTGACCTAAATCCCGATTGGCAATGCGTCAACAAGCGGTTGATATTGAAATAATTATAGAGTTGTTTCGAAAATTAGTTTTTCGAAAATTTTAGCGACTGCTGGAATAACTGATATCGGTCGATAGCTGTTCGGATCGTTCTTTTTGCCTCTCTTAAATATTGGTGATACTCTGGCCGTTTTCCACTCAGATGGGAATATGCCAGTGCTAATTGATCTGGCAAATATTTCAGTTAGTGATGGTGAGATTATTTCAGCCGCTATCTTTATAAGCTTATTGGGGATGTTATCTAGACCAGGGGCTTTTCGTTCATTAATTCTACTTAAAAGCATATAAACCATATCGACTGTACGCGGCCTTGTAGAAAAACTGTGCTCAGCTGGTTCTAAATAATCTTCAGGTTCGGCTGCAGAGTTAGGTATCTCTGAGGCTAAATTCTCACAAACACTTGAAAAGTGATTGTTAAAGGCAGAGGCGTAACTAGAGCGTTAATTGAGGGGGGGGGGGGGGGGTATATTCATATATTCGTATTCTGCCCGACGAATTTCTTTTGAAATTCTTTATTTTTGAGTTCATTTCAAAAGAAATTAGTCGGGCAGAACACGAATTTATGAATATACCCCCCCCCCCAATTAACGCTCTAGTTACGCCACTGGTTAAAGGCTTCAGCTATATTTACAGGAGTGTTTATTATTTCTTCCCCTATTTTAATTTCGGTAATATTGCTTGATTTATTGCAATTATGTCGTGAACTTAATTCGTTAATTAAATTTCATGTTTTCCGTGGGTTTGTTTTAGCGTTCTCCAAGTTCGTTGTAATCAGGGCGCTTATATAGTGGGCGGTGCAACGCGCTGATGTCGCGCTGATCGATGTGTGATGCGGAAAAGGACTGGCACGAGCGTGCTTTTCGGCAAAAGTTGACAAGGAGCGTGCTTTTCCTGCTGTTGTATTTTCGCTGTTTTTTCATTAACTACAAAATTCTTGAGGATGTTTTTAAACTGTAACGACGAAGTAGTAACAAGTGTATCGTACGAATGCTTGTTTGGCCTGTATAGTTGAATTTTGATAGGATAATGTGTCGGGCATTTGATGACTTCAATGAAGGGAAATTTTCAAAACAGCATTTGGGCATGTTATCAAGTCGTCCAAACTTCGAAATTCAGTTGATGGTAAAGATTATAATTATGTGCTTATCTCCAAAAGTTTTCATAAGACTCGGAGTTGAGCAATTGAATATACAGCGTTGGAAAGTGAGGTATTTTTGTGTGTTAAATTTTGCCTCGTTAGACCATTATTTCGCTGCAAAAAAAATAAACAACAATTGTATTTTGGCCATGTCATGATTTTTTGTTATTGTGTTAATAATTTTGTACGACTTTTAAGGCATTCAATTGAAGTAATTCTGAGCCGTAAACATATTTTACTTCTTGGCCTTTGAATCAAAATACGACTCGCTCGGACGTTTGTAGTAGTAGTAGTAGTAGTAGTAGAACTTTATTTATCCACGCTGACCCCGTCAACCGTAGCTGATTTCCACGGGGGGCGTGTGCCAGAAAATTATTTTACATGCAGAATATGATAAGGATAAGCTAAGCTATTACAGTAATATATAAATTTAAAAGATATAACAAATGTTTTGAGCTATTTACAGGTAAGTTATATTTACAAAGGTTACCAAGCACCAGTGTGAGCAGCGATTTTATTTCGAAAGGAAGAAAGTGACTTGCGTTCCCTAATTTGTTTTGGTATAGAATTCCAAATGTTTGCTCCGTCGTACATAAAACTATTTTTCATGCTATTTGTACGTGGTTTTGGTAAATAAAGACCACTTGAGACATCCCGAAGGTGGTAATTAGTTTTCTCACTCTTAAACGAAAATAGATTTGTGAGTGATTTTGGGCCCATTTTGTTTAATAACTTATACATCATTCTTGCTTTAGTTTTCTTCCTTTCAGTTTGGAGTGTCTCACAGCCCAAAGTACGTAACGCAATCGTATATTCTACGTCATTGCTTACATTCAGAATAATTCTTGCCGCTCTATTTTGCAGTTTTTGCAGTCGAAGTTTCGTCCCAACTTTGATTTTTTTTGACCGGCTGGCCAAGACAACTTCTCGTAAGGAT